ATTATGATCATAATCAGAAAAAATGAAAACAGGAGGAGGAGGAGGAGAAGAAGAAGAAGAAGAATAATGAGTAAATATGATGATGGTCACGCAGAAGAAGAAGAAGAAGAAGAAGAAGAAGAAGAAGAAGAAGAAGAAGAAGAAGAAGAAGAAGAAGAAGAAGAAGAAGAAGAAGAAGAAGAAGAAGAAGAAGAAGAAGAAGTAGAAGAAGAAGATAATAACACTACTCCTAGTACAGCTGCCACAGTTGCTACTACTCTCCCTCTGTATGAGTCATCTACAAATCGAACTGACCCCCATAGAAGACCCCAGGACCAGAGGCTCCCGTGACCATCACACTCTGCTGACTCCCGTCCACGTGAATCTTGTATGCCTCAGGGCTGTCAGAGATCTGTGTAAGATTACTGCTAGTCTTCAGAAGTACAAAGTTCTCTTCTTGTGTCTCCTGTGTCACTGTAAGCTGTATGTCGGGGAAGAGCTGCTCCATTGTTTCTGGGGAGAAACATGATACTGTTTACTTACAGTTTCATTTTTATTCTAGAATGACATAAGAGAAACGTACTATGTACATATTCCTTCATTGTTTTTTTTACGAATGACATAGGAGGAACATTATTCACTTGCAGTGTCTTTACTTTTTAAAATGACACTGAAGAAATTTTATTAACGTACTGTTTTTATAGAGGTCTTTTTTTCTTTTTTTTTTTTTTTTACCAAAACATACTTTGTTATTCTTTACTCTTTCTTGCATCTCGTTTTTCATTACGTGGATCTTATCCTGTACAAACATAAATTCGAAAAAAGGCAGACATTTGAACTTGCTAATATATTGAAAGGACGTTTGTTTCTGTATGGCTCTAATGCGTGGTTAAATACAGAGGGCTCTTCGAAAGCGAACCTTTTTTCCACAGTGGCATAAGTAATGTGAAAAAAGAAGGTAGGAAAGCAGCTACAGAGAATTCATTAAAGTTATAGATCATGAACCAACATCTAAGATTAGATGTATTTTTAGTACAATTTGTTTAGACAAGCGCGGCAAAAGTAATCGACAACACTTTTGTCACCGCTGTCCATCACCTCCTCTGATTCTGCTCCCGGCGGTATCGCCAAGAAGGCAGAAGAGTCCAAAATTAGGAAATATTCAGGCCTCAGCAACCGCTTCCACTTCTTACCAGTGGCCGTCGAAACATCCGGCGCTCTCTGTCCCCTGAAGACCTAGTTCTTCCAGAAAGTTGGACGTCGGTTAACAAACGCCACAGGTGACCAACGGGAGACGAGGTGGTTGTGAGAGAGAATCTCTCTGGCGATTGTTAGAGGCAACGCCTTTTCTGTATTGGCATGGATGTATCGATAGGTGGATGGATGGATGGATGGATGGATGGATGGATGGATGGTTGGGTGGATTGATAGATAGATAGAAAGATGTGATCTAAACGATGAAGACAGGCGGTAAGATGGAGACTGAGAGTGATATATTGTATAAAAAGAATATTATACTACATTATTATTACATTTTTTGTTAACAAAAATACGTAAAAATTGAATGAAGGCTAATACAGTTTTTTGGTGGAATCTGAAAATCGATTCTTTAGTCTATCTCTCTTGCCCTTTTTAACTGCCAGTGGAGCACAGGCCATCAACAACATTACTCCAGCGAAGCCTGTCCTGAGCATCCTTTTCTATGTTTCCATGATGTCCCCGCTTTTTCAATTTCCGCTTGTACCGCTCGCCTCCATGTCATCTTTGGTGTTCCCTTCTTACGCTTTCCTTGTGGGTTCCACGTTAAAGCCTGTCTGGTGATACTTGTCGGGGTCTCCTCAGGGTGTGTCCAATCCATTTCCATTTTTTCACCTGAGTTCTCTCCCACAGTTGAGAATTCGTGACTCGGTCGTACCACTTGATCCCCACTATCCTTCGTAGGCATCCATTTACGAAGCTCTGCAGTTTCCTTGCTGTTGATGCTGTGAGCCTCCATGTCTCTGAACCATACAGTAGAACAGTCTTCACGATTGTTTTGAAGATCCTCAGTTTGGTGTTCAATCCCAGTTCCTTAGACATCCATATATTCCTGAGAATGATGAATGCTGCTCTTGCCTTTTGGATTCTGACCTTGATGTCTTCGTCTGTTCCCCCAGCCTTGTTGATGACACTTCCCAGGTAGGTGAATGATTCAACATCCGCCAATGGTGCCCCTTGCAGTGTGATAGGAACGTCGGCTGCATTCATTCATAGAAC